ATGCCCCCGTCATCTCTGCTGAGAAAGCCTACCATGAACAGCTTACTGTAGCAGAGATCACCAATGCTTGCTTTGAGCCAGCCAACCAGATGGTAAAATGTGACCCCCGCCATGGTAAATACATGGCTTGCTGCCTGTTGTACAGTGGTGATGTGGTCCCCAAAGATGTTAATGCTGCCATTGCCACCATCAAGACCAAGCGCAGCATCCAGTTTGTGGATTGGTGTCCCACTGGCTTTAAGGTTGGCATTAATTACCAGCCTCCCACTGTGGTTCCTGGTGGAGACCTGGCCAAGGTACAGCGTGCTGTGTGCATGTTGAGTAACACCATAGCCATTGCTGAGGCCTGGGCTCGCCTGGATCACAAGTTTGACCTGATGTATGCCAAGCATGCCTTTGTTCACTGGTATGTGGGTGAGGGGATGGAGGAAGGAGAGTTTTCTGAGGCCCGCGAGGACATGCCTGCCCTAGAGAAAGATTATGAGGAGGTTGGAGTAGATAGTGCTGAGGGAGAGGATGAGGGTGAAGAGTATTGACCTTGCTGCTATGATTTCACACTCCATTGTCTTGGATTTGTCTTATCTGTGTCTCTTTTAACCCTGAACTATCAATAAAAGCATTTCCATTTTAAATGTCAAAAAAGAAGGATCAAATAGTCTTTTTATTTTTTAACCATCTCCCCCTTCTCTGCTGAATTATATGGTCTATATGTTTTCATGTATAATTTGCATTCTTTTTTATTTTGTAAGGATAAACACAATTACAAAACTAGAATCCCCACTTTCATATTGACAGGTCCATATTATGAGGTGGACAAATATCTATCTCATCTTGTTCATGAAATTGTAACAATGAGTTGTAAATTAATGTTTTCTGTGGGAATTATGTAAAGAGTGCATTAAGGTCCATAGCATGGTACATGACACACTGGAAAGTCTCAAAAGTTTTTTTCTTTCATTTCTTCTTCTTTTAGCCCTTGTCTGCTTCCTTCTCCTCCCTTTTCTTCTTCTTTGATAATCTTAGTCAATTATTATATAGAAAATTATAATTGGATTCCAACTAATGTTGAAAAATGAGCAAAATTTACTTTTCTCCAAGGATCATCTGGGTCTGCTTAGCCATTTTATATGATCTAGTTTCTATCAAGAAACTCAACAAAGATGGAAATACCAATGTATATGATTGAACTTGTATTAATGAAAATGGGGGGCACAAAGTTAAACACAAGTTTTCAGAAAGAATAAATGTTGTTTGGTAATTATTTTAGTCATTCTAATCTTGTTCCTGAGGCTCTTCCCTGTTGGAGGCAAAAGCTTTCCAGTTGAAAACATTTTGGAATGTATGATATATGTAGACTTTGCTTTGGTCAATGACTTTCCTATCCTCTTCCCCAAAGGGAGTATCGAGTTTGGAGGAGTCTTATGTGGCTTTGGGACAGTGGGGGAAGATGGACCATGTGTTTTCTCTTAGTTATTTCAAGTTCTCATCATCAGGAGTCTAGTGTGAACTGGTTCATAAGAGCTTTGGTTTGGTGTCTCCTGAGAAAAGGCAGGTCTCATCTCATTGCTTGGTCTCCCTTCCCCTGACCTTGAGGTAAAGTCCAAGGTCTGGGTCACTTATTCCTGGTTGCCATTGGGCTTTTTCCTCTGATTTCATACCTCCTCTGTTTTACTGGCTCACTGGGCACCTGTCTTTTCATCATCCAGAAGAGCATGTGAGATTTTCTGGGTCCTCAGCTTCCTATATGCAGGAGACAGGGAGGTTCATGCTTTCTGCTAACACATTTCTCTGCCAGGGCTTTGTTCCACATGGGGTGTGGCACCTCTGTGGGCATAGTAGTTTTCTATTTGCTGGCAAATATTATTAGCTTAAGCCAACACAAATATATTATCTTACATGTTTTTAGGTCAGAAGTCCAAGAAGGTGTGGACAAGGCTGTGTTCCTTTCTGGAGGCTGTTGTCTTGTGCGGTTTCTAGAGGCCATCTGTATTCCTTTGTTTGGGGGCCTGTCCTTCCATCTTCAAATCCAGTAGCACAGCATGTGTTTGACCTTGTCTCTGTGATTTCTGCTTCTCCAATACAGCCAATAAAGGTCTCTTATACAAGGGTTCATGTGATTCATTTGGACTCACCCAGAGATTCCAGAATAATCTCCCTTGCTCAAGAACCTTTATCTTAATCACATTGGTAAAGTGGCCTAGTCATGTATTTCACACTTTCACACTTTATGGAGTTTAGGACTCTGGTTTCTATCATAGCTGGAAGCTTTAAAACTCTTCAGGCAATTCTTATGGTAGGCAAATGACTAATTCCAATATTTTTGGGTTCTCCCATATCTGTAAGGATGTTTTTCTCCTGTTGGTCTGTGAAAAGTGAAAGAAAGGTCACTAGTGTTGACCTCTCACTGGATATATTTGTTTCCTGTCTTGAACTTATTTCTCTCCCATCCTAAATCTCTCTCCATTGCCACCTAACTGGGTAAGATTTCTCTGAGTTCCCTTTACTCATGATTTACAGTCATCCTCTAAGTTCAACCAAGCTAGATGTAATTCTCTACTTATGGCTTAGAATTAACCTTACAAGTTCAGCATAGTTTATAGTTCAGTTGTTTATAAGTAAAAGGAGGTCTTAGAAATTTTGATAATCTCAATTGTATCACAAGATAACCTAGTTGTCAGGATGGTTGTGTGTCTGTATCTTGAGAAAATATTATTTGGTAGATAAATCTGATCAGTGGCCTTTCAGATTGATATCCAGCATTTTGATCCTGGGGTGATAAGCTTTTTGACTTAGTCTTCATGGAAGGCTACAGCAGGATGTGTGGGTGGTGTGTATGTGTGTGTGTGTGTGTGTGTGTGTGTGTAAGAAATAAATACAGCAGTTGAATGTTTTCACAAATATTTTCCCTTCTTCCTCCCACATTGCTGTATTTCAGAAGACTTGGTGCTGACCCTGATGTGTACAGACTCTGCAAATCCTTGATATGAGATGTGTGTTCTCTCATGGATTGGAGGAAGGAACAGTTCCAGGCCTGTGAGTGACTGTATGCTTCTAGATGTTCCTCCTGTTGCCCTCATGGCTTCTGGCTTCTCCTTAAGTTCTCTGTGGTGATTCATATGCTGGAATCACCAATCTGTTGCTGTGGCAGAAGTGATGGTCACAACACTGGTACTGGTTCTCAAGGGACCTGTCACAAATCTACCCCCCAAATAATCCTCTGGCTCCTTCTCCTGGTTGAGGATGTGGGCTTGAGTTATAAGACTTATATCTCAGGAGGCTATCCCCTCCTCAGCTCAGGCTGAAATCAGCACTCCAGGTGCTGGACACTCCCTTACTACTTTCTCACAAATCCAGTATAGTAGTTTGTAAAAATGTGTAAACAAGCTTCTGTGGCTCTGAGGTGGTGGGTGGCTATGTGCTCTGTCTTGGGGCAGGGAAGGACCTTGCATGATTGATAACTCTCTCAACAGGGCCTGTCACTCTGGATCCAGACTCTGCTCACCATAGGCTTTCTGTCTCTCATGAAAAGATGCATCTAACTTGGAAGGACCACTGTGCATACCATGATGAAAAGCAGTGTGTTGGGTCTTGAGGTCATCACATCAGAAACATGGTACTGGGAAGTGGAGATAGAAAATGAAATCTCGAGGAAGTGGACTCTGGGAGTCTGTAGAAAAGATGTGAGCAGAACAGGCTTCAACAAGGAATTACCAAATAGGGGTCTTGAGTCATGGGGAAGTTTAAGGACAGATATTGTGCCTGGACTGATCTTGTGACTTGGTTATATCCTAGGCAGGATCCCTGCAGGGTGGAGGTTTTCTTGGACTACAGTGAAGGGATGTCTCCTTCTATAACATGATTGATGGTTCTCACATTTTCTCTTCTCCTCCAGTTTCCTTCTCTGGAACTCTCTTTCCATACTTCATGTTAATGTATGGAGCTGTGTCCATGTCCATCTGCTCCATGGAGATTGGGTCTGAGGGGCTCCCTCTACCCCTTAACAATTCTCCCCCTTTGGAGAAGATCCTGAGCACCCCAACAGAGGGGTTTAGCTCAGGTTGTGGTGTTGATGGTGCTCCTCCAGAAGCTGAATCTCTATTACTTTCCTGACATTCCCAGATTTTGTCTGCATAGGGTCCCTTGTTATCGGTGATCCCTCACTGTGGCTCTTCCTGGTGATGTGGCACCCCCTTTCTCCAAAGAAAAGTCATAACTAGGCTTTTCTGGAAATCTTTACCATGGCTGATTTTAGGACTCTCAGCAAAAGAGTCTTTACAAAACAGTTCAATGTAGATAAACTTTCAATTTTTATGTTGCCCTGTTTTACTTGGCCACTGACCAGGAACAAATCAGTACTCCAGGTGCTGGACACCCCCTTACTAGTTTCTCACAAACATATATTCAGTATAGTAGTTTGTAAAAACGTGTAAACAAGACTCTGGCCTTGAACTGGGCCTTCACACAAAAGTCTACATTTCTAACATAAGAGAAGTTACCAATTGGGCTCCTTGATAATAGCTGGTTGGGTGAGGAAAGAAAGGGGAGAAGAAGCTCTTCCCTTCTCAGTGTTGTCCTTGTAGGACAACAATTTATCCCATAAGTTTGAGACCAGCCTGCACAACATAGCGGTACCCTTTTTCCAAAAACAAAACAAAAATTCAAACAAAGTTGAGATCACATTACTTCACATGCATGTGTGTAGAGGGACCTTGAGGTTGAGAATGATCCCCAGTTCTACTTTTGCAGAGTTGGACTATCAGATGACAGTTCATTACCCAAAAATTTCCAGCAAAATGGATAGGTGTGTTATTCATTTTTTTTTGTCTGTGTGACAAAATACTGAGAAAATCAATGTAAAGGAGGAAAGATTTATTTTCCTCACAGTTGTAGAAGTTGCAGTCCATAGTCGCCTGGCTCCATTATTTCTGAGGTAGAATGTCATGCGATGACAGGGAGCAGGTGGTGGAGTGAATGGCTCATCTTATGGCAGACAGAAGGCAAGAGAGGAAGAGAGGGGGGAGGGAAAGAGAGGAGAGAAAATGAGAGAGAGAGAGAGAGAGAGAGAGAGAGAGAGAGAGAGAGAGATTAGATAGATAGATAAGGAGCCAAAACATAGTCTTAAAGGATAAAGCCACAGTTACCTACCTCCTTCCTGTTTCCTAGTCCCCACCTACTGAGGTGTCTACCACCTCCCAAAAGGGCCACCAGCTGGGGACCAAGCTTTTAACACATGAGCATTTGGAGGATATTTCAGTTCCAAACTACAGTGAATGATAGCGTTTTAAGAGTAGAGTCCAACATTCTATGTTATCTACTTCCTATTCTGGGATGAACGGAACATATTTATTTTTCCATAATTCAGTAAATTTCTGGAACCACGGAGAATGTTGTGATATGTTAATCCAGGGAATTAAGGATAAGACAGTGGATCCCCTCCTTAAAAAGCTATTAGTTCATATTCATTGTACAAAATATTGGTTTTATTGTGACAACTTCACACATGCATATAATGTACTTTGATCATATCCACCATTCCTGCTACCCTCTTTGATTTTTCCCTCCATTTCCATTTTGTGTCTATACTGCAACTGAGGAAAGCCAAGAATTACTAGAGTAAACATAAATGA